ACTGCCACCTGAAGCAGTACATGAGGTTTATCAAGAATTCTCAGCCAAAGGACATGTATAAAGTACATAAGTAATTCTGAAAGAGACAGCCAACTCTGCCTAATTACATAACCAGCTAAATATTTTCCACATGACCTTACAATGACCAGAAATATTTGCCACTCGTGACCTTGTACTGCCACATTTGGATAATTCCGGATAGTACCAGGATTTGAAAGTCATCTATCTTACCACCACTACCACTTCCTCCTACTTTGGAAGTAGAGCCCGCAGACGAAAGACCTGATGAATTGGAATGGAGTGTGGACAACTGTCAGGGGATGGAACCCAGGTCCCCATGACCCCTCTCTATGACCCACAGGCTAACCTGTAACAGCAGCCCATCCCAGGGCATAACACTACTGTGGGTAAGAAAGTGTATAAGATAAAGGGCAAGTAAGATACACTTGCCTACTGTGGGTAAGAAAGTGAGAAGAAGGTTAACTTCTCACTTTCCCACAGTGGCCCGATATGGCGAAAACTTCCGGGGATACCCAGAAGTCACATGAGGTGGGATCCGGGGTCGGATCATGCGGCATGCGGAGCGTGCAGCGCAGGAAGTGCGCAGGAAGTGGAGCAGGTCCGGACGCGGGTCCGGGTCCGGGCTAAGTCAGGGTATGTGCCCTGACAACAACGGCATGGAGGAAGATGATGAAAGGAAACCATAGGGCAAAGGGGATGAGGGATGATGTTAGACACTGGTCCGGGGTCGGCACCGAAGGTCGCTGTTGCGGGCCGCTATAGGCCGTGATGGCTGTGATGCTGTGAACAAGGCCCAGGGGTAGGGCATTTGGCCTCAGCAACTCTAAAGGGAGTGCTGTGCCCCCTAGCTGTCTCTTGGCCCTCATTTCGGACTCACTGGGGTTGCCTTGTTGGGGTCAGGACTCAGGGGTCGTGGTCACATCGATATTAGAGCTAAGGTACTATAATGTAGTATACAGGATATATATATGAAGATAGAATGAATAGAAGTGGACCCGGGCTGAAGGCCGAAGGGTCCGGAAGCAAATAGGAACAAAGAGCAGGGTTGGCCGCACAGTGGCCGGCAATGACCGAGGGTCAAAACAAACAATAACAGATAAATAAATGAAGGGGTGTAGGGCTGCGATAGCGGCGATGGTATCATAGTGGAGTAGGCGATGTCGCAGAGTCATGCTAGGTCAGTGCCAGAGGCGGACTCGGGGCAGGGAGGTCAGTGTGGCTGTGGGGGAGTCGGCCAAGTGTAGGGGAGCCTAGGAGCAAGTGGGGGAGTGAGCAGGGAGCCCTCAGGATAGGGCTGAGGTCAGGGCTTGCACTCGCGCTCGCACAGCAGGAATAGGCTTGGGCAGCATCGGGATGGGCAGCTAACAGGCCAGAATGCATGGTCATGACAGATGATTCATTTATCAATGATTGTTTTGATGGAAGGATAGGACCAGAGAAAAGTGATTGGCTCTAGCTGTTAGTGTTAGACACTGGTCTGGGGTCAGCACCGAAGATCACTGATGCGGGCCGCGATGGCTGCGATGCCTCAAACAAGGCCCGAGGGTAGGGCATTTGGCCTCAGTGACTCTAAAGGAGCGCTGTGCCCCCTAGCTGTCTCTTGGCCCTCATTTCAGACTTACTGGGGTTGCCTTGTTGGGGTCAGGACTTAGGGGTCGTGGTCAATCGATATTAGAGCTAAAGTACTATAATGTAGTATACAGGATATATATAGGAGGAAGGAATGAATGGAAGCGGACCCGGGCCGAAGGCCGAAGGGTCCGGAAGCAAACATGAATAAGGAGTGGGGTTGGCTGCACAGCGGCCGGCAATGACCGAGGGTCAAAACAAACAATAACAGATAAATAAAGGAAGGAGCGTAGGGCTGCGATAGCAGCGATGGTACATATCGTAGCGGCACTGGACTCAGAGTTGGGCTGGAGTCGGGCGCGGGAATGGTAGCGGCCCTGTAGGGGCCAAGTGGGCGGGGTAGAGGAGTCACGCTGGGCACAGTGCCGGAGGCAGACTCAGGGTGGGAAGGTTGGTGTGGCTGTGGGGGAGTCAGCCAGGTGCAGGGGAGCCTAGGGTGTCAGGGACAGCTCTGAAAGCGGTGAGGTCCCAGCGCGAGGGACTCGATGGGACAGATGTCGGCTATGCTGTCAGGGCCCGGCCCTCGTTCCGTGACGGGCCTAAGGGGATCCTCCGAGTCGCTGGGGTATCTAGTCCCAGTCCGAGGTCTTCAAACTCACTGAGGGGGCTAGCCCCAGCCTTCACAGGAAATGAGTTGCTACGCATTTAGGGAGTAGCTTAGTTACACTTGCCTTCACAGGAAATGAGTTGAGAAGAAGGGTAACCTTCTCAACCTCCTGTGAAGCCGCTACAAATGGGAGCCGGGAACTATACAGTTTTCGGCTCTTTGCCGACTTTCCATAATTGGCACCCCCCCCCCCCCTGTGGGAAGATTCTGGGCGAGCTGCTCGCCCAGAAAGTTCCCACGGTTGTGGCTGTGATGGTTTCTGGGCAAGTTACTTGCCCAGAACGTTCCCACGGTCTGCATGCATGCGGGATTGTGGAACAGTGAAGGGAAAAATAGGAGAAAATGGGGGAAGGGTACCTGAGGGTGTGTGGGGTCAGGGGCTGTGCCCTGACATATGCGTAGCAGCGGTCCTGTTGTGGGGTGAGCGTCCCCGACCACTTAGTCTGAAGTGGGAAGTTGAATTATCATTAAAAGGGGAAGCTACAGTACTTACCTGAAGTGGGAAGTTGAGAAGAAGGCTGCTTCTTCTGTTCCCACCCCAGGTGCTATTATATACATGCGGTTGGGGTCATGTGGGAGGAGCCACATCATCCCCGCACACAGCTGCACTCCCCTGGGTATCTCCATGGGAGATCCTGGAGGTGTGCCGCTCTGTGAGCAGGAATGCGCGCAGCGGGCACGGCAATCGGGGGAGTGGGGTTAGGTGTGTAGTAATACATAGAGAAGGGGAAGTCGACCATGGAACGGAAATAGAAAGAAAGAAGGAAAGGGGAAAGAAGAAACAGGGAGTGATAGTGGGGGAGCGGAGTAGGGCAGCGCAGCGCGGGGTCAGGTGGGGTGTGCCCTGACATAGGGGCAAGCAGGGGAGTGAGCAGGGAGTCCTCAGGGAGGATAGGGCTGAGGTCGGGGCTCGCACTCATGCTCGCATAGTGGAAACGGGCTCGGGCGGCATCGGGACGGGCGGGGAACGGGCCGGAATGCACGGCCGTGACACTAGCTCTCCGAAGGATAGGAAGAGGAGCGGTTGGGACCAAACAAGTGCCTTTGAAGGAGAGGATTCATATATTGAAGTTAGCGGTGATACGTAGGTGGTTTGAATGGGACGTTGTGGGGACTGGGGAATGCACCGAGTTTGCCGAGATGAATCCAACACACTCAAGCCAGTCACCATTGACGCCACTGACGATTCGAGAGACACATGTACTTGATTCTTGGCAAGATATCAGTTTTTCCCAAGTCATCACCATTCACCATCCATCCAAACCTCAACATCATCGCTGATGTGTCACGACCCGGCATTCCCTGGAGTCAGACGACCTCCTCCCCGACCTTCTCCCATGCCCGAACACTCCCTGCACACTCCACTCGCCGCCCATCGCCATCTAACCCCTTCCCACCACCTCTCCACAACCCCTCTCCTAATTGTCGTTGAACGACCCAGCGCTGCAGAGCACCATGACCTGTTGTCCCATGTTTCACGGAACCTTGTTATCTTGCGGCGAAGGTCACATTTGACCTTCGCTGTCTTGAACATGTGCTTCTTGTTTGTTTTCCTCCTTCTTTTCTCTGCCCACAATCTCCACGAGATCTGGCGACTTATTCCCTATTCAGTTCCCTAGCACTTATACACAGCTTGTAACTAATGCTTGTACTGTAGTTCGAAATCAACTAGAACGTTCCCCTAAGCTTACATCTGTTCCCCGTAAAACCTCTGCCTTCTGAAGTATCGGGACCGCATCGAGAACAAGGCACAACGCTCCTCCCTGAGTCGTTGAAGCTGGAATCCCGGCCCGCTTGCCTAAGTAGCCTCGACCTTGAGATTGGTGAGGTTATTCCTCGCTAAAGCTTGGTCGTGGGTAGGACACCTTTACCACTAGCAGCCAACGCTCGGTCGCCTACAGCTACCATTGGCAAAGCTTCCCACGGTTCTGACATTATGGTGGTATGCAGAAACACGCATCTCAAGCTGAGGACCCAATTCAGCCTAGCCCATCATGTGCAGTAGCAACGTAGGAAGAGGAGAACATGCTCAATTGTGGACCATTTGTGCCTTGTCCGAGATTGGAAAGAGCATTATGTAGGTGTCATGGCCGTGCATTCCGGCCCGTTAGCCGCCCGAGCCCATTCCCGCTATGCAAGTGTGAGCGCGAGCCCCGACCTCACCCCTATCCTCCCTGAGGACTCCCTGCTCACTCCCCCGCTTGCCCCTAGGCTCCCCTGCACCTGGCCAGCTCCCCCACAGCCACACCAGCCTTCCCACCCTGAGTCTGCCTCTGGCACTGTGCCCAGCATGACTCCTCTACCCCGCCCACTTGGCCCCTACAGGGCCGCTACCATTCCCGCGCCCAACTCTGGCCCAACTCCGAGTCCAGCACTGCTACGATACCATCGCTGCTATTGCAGCCCTACGCTCCTTCCTTTATTTATCTGTTATTGTTTGTTTTGATCCTCGGTCATTGCTGGCCGCTGTGCAGCCAACCCCACTCCTTATTCATGTTTGCTTCCGGACCCTTCGGCCTTTGGCCCGGGTCCACTTCCATTCATTCCTTCCTCCTATATATATCCTGTATACTACATTATAGTACTTTAGCTCTAATATCGATTTGACCACAACCCCAAGTCCTGACCCCAGCAAGGCAACCCCAGTAAGTCCGAAATGAGGGCCAAGAGACAGCTAGGTGGCACAGCGCTCCTTTAGAGTCGCTGAGGCCAAATGCCCTACCCTCGGGCCTTGTTCACGGCATCACAGCCATTGCGGCCTATAGCGGCCCACAATGGCGACCTTCGGTGCCGACCCTGGACCAGTGTCTAACAGTAGGTTCTTGACTGATTTGGCCAATTTTGGGGTGTATACTCCTGGGTTGATGCCGACTAGCTGGTGCCAGATGTTGACACCTTCTTCAATGAATGGGAGCGCCTCCGAGTGCCGTCCAAGATTGGAAAGAGCATTGTATAGATTGTTGAGTGACATGGCCAAATCCGGTGTGTATGATCCTGGGTTAATGCCAACCAGCTGGTGCCAGAATTTGACACATTCTTCAATAAATGGGAGCGCCTCCAAGTGCCGTCCGAGATTGGAAAGAGTCAAATATAGATTTCTGAGTGACATGGCCAAATCCGGGGTGTATGTTCCTGGGTCAACAATAACTAACTGGCAGTAGAGTTTGATGCTTTCTTCGATGAATGGGAGCCCCTCCGAGTGCCGTCCGAGTTTGGAAAGAGCATTACGTAGATTGTTGAGTGACAAAGCCAAATCCGAGGTGTATGATCCTGGGTGAACGGCAACTAGCTGGCACCGGAGTTTGACACTTTCTTCGATGAAGGGGAGTGCTTCCGAGTGCCGTCCGAGATTGGAAAGAGCCACATATAGACTGTTGAGTGATATGGCCAAATCCGGTGTGTGTGATCCTGGGTTAATGCCAACTAGCTGGCGCCGGATTTTGACGCATTCTTCCATGAATGGAAGCGCCTCCGAGTGCCGTCCGAGACCCGAAAGAGCCAAATATAGATTTCTGAGTGACATGGCCAAATCCGGTGTGTATGATCCCAGGTTAACGTCAACTAGCTGGCACCGGATTTTGACACATTCTTCAATGAATGGGAGCGCCTCCGAGTGCCGTCCGAGATTGGAAAGAGCCACATATAGACTGTTGAGTGATATAGCCAAATCCGGTGTATATGATCCTGGGTTAACGCCAACTGGCTGGCGCCGGATTTTGACACATTCTGCCATGAATGGAAGCGCCTCGAGACCCGAAAGAGCCAAATATAGATTTCTGAGTGATATGGCCAAATCCGGTGTGTGTGATCCTGGGTCAATGCCAACTAGCTGGCATTGGATTTTGACACATTCTTCAATGAATGGAAGCGCCTCCAAATGCTGTCCGAGATTAGAAAGAGCTTTGTGTAGACTGTGAAGTGACTTGGCCAAATGGGGAGTGTAGAAACTTGAGTTCACAGAAAAAAGGCAACGGTAGAGTACAACAGTGTCATTTGCTGCCTCATATGCCTCTTGGAATCTTGAAAAAAACCCTAAATCACGGCTAAGCCGGATAAGCACATTAGCCAGTGTGCCGACAGCATTTTTCGACCTGTGGACAACAGCCGACTAGAGAAGATCATGAGGTAGTTTCATTGATACAATTTGTCGATAGCCCATACCTTAGCCCACTCAGGGAGTGAAGAGATACTGACGTAGGTTTCCATTCTCACACAGACTTCCATCCAACGAGTTGCTTCCTGACTCAGAAACATAGCAACTGACATAGCAAGCTCCTGTGACGGTTCCTGGACTCGGCTGAGGTGATGGACAATGTGGCAGCATGCGTAATGAAAGTGTTCCGATAACTCCTTGGGGGAAATGCGCAGCATTTCATCGTTTTCGGACAAGTTTTCAATTAATCCTAAGCCCTTTACATGGCAGAGATCCTGGTTTAGGATCTCGATACACCGCAGGGCAAGCCTGGCATTCTCTGTCTCCACGCCCACTGGACTGCAATGAGGACTGATTGTCCGAGGATCGATCCGATCGGCAATAAAATCGTGGAAAGACTGGTGTAAGATGCAAACCGGAGTGTAGTGATCCTCAACTCCTGAGAGGAGTGGCGCAAGTTCAGCGAACACATATTGAGCAGAAGACTTGAGGAAGGGCGACAAAATTGCGTCCCAGGCTGTGATGGACAGAGGCTGCTGAGCAACGAAGATTGCTCCCATCACAACTGGGTAATCGTGAGCAAAATCTTCATCCTCCCAAGCACATTTCTTCAAAATGCTTATATACAAGTCATCCATCATCTTCTCAGCAGGGACCTCTGGCCGTTCGGCACCAGTGTCTAGCAGACTTTCTAGTGTCATCATAGGATTCTTGTTGGCCACCTCCATGTAGCGAAAGATGGTGCTGATCCAGATAAACAAGCCATTTGCTCGTTTCGAGATCTCCTGTACCATATTATCCTCGTCCTGAAGAGTACGCTGTAAACTCCGATGTAACTTCCCTAGCTTTTGCAGCTGGAAGCGTATGAATCTAGCACAGTCTTGCACATTTGCCTCATCCAAGAGATCAATAGTGAGACGATTAATAGGGTAATCGGGGGAGAGGTAGCGATTCACGAGAACAAGTTGTCTCGATGTGATGAAGAATTTGATGGAAGATGGTAGCCTGGGCACTTGGTCCCCAAGAACGTCGGCAAGGGGCTCAAGCACGTCTTTGTCACATTCATCCAGAGCGTCGATGATGATCACCATAGGACGGTCGGAAGGCGGAGGTTTACGGAGCAGAGGTAGAGCGACCAATTCCTTGAATTGCGTCGCAAATGAAGCTGTTGGGAGACTAGGGTCGTTTCGAAGAGTAGAGGCAATGAAAGTGCGGTAAGCGGGGTCATGGTCTGCCAAAGCTTGAGCTATGCCACTGAACAAAAGATTAGGCCGCGATCGTTTGCCCGCTTTAAAAAAGAACCGTAGTAACAGGGAAACATCCTCTTCACTGACACATCGCTCGGCTATCGTGAGGGCAATCGAAGTCTTGCCGGCACCGGCCACAGCAGTCAACAGCATTAGCCGGTTCTCGCCATCCCCAGTGTTGCGACACCACGCCATGATATGCTCAATGAGATCAACCCTAGTGTCTCCTAGGCACGCCTGGGTGGGATTATCAGAGGGTATCAAGTTCGTCATAACCTGCATCGGCAAACAATCAGAATGGTCATGCTACCTGAAACGATGTCAATGCTTCGGCAAACTCCTTGTTTAGGCCATGAATTCTTCCCAAGTGAGAGAATGTTTTTCTGATATTCAATCGTTTCTCCACTTTTTCCTATCCTTCAATTTCGGACTTAATCTTCTGTAGCGCGCTAGGATTTGATGTGAATACGATATCAAAACCGTCAAAAACAGATACAGATTTACCCATCGAGCTCGGTAGCACTTTCCACCCATGACTTTGCCTCTGATACATCGTCGGACTCTATTACCGAAGCTACCTTGGCCATGGTGCTTGCTATGTATTCCCCGAAATTAGTCCATTCCTTGGCATTCTCCTTAAAATTCTATGTAACGCGAACCAGGGTGAGCTTACATTGGTAAACAAGCATGAATCATTACCAACTTTAACCTCGTCGGAGATAAAGAGTGCAGCACTAGTCGCATTCTTTAAGGGTGGACACCAATCTGCGGTAGCATTGATGCCTCTCAGGGTTAAAACCGCCAGGTCACCCCCTGCTGCGAGATCATTGATCTTTTGCCTCGGAGTTCCAGCCTCGTGCTGCAGCGATATGGTCGATGGCGGGCAAGTTGATGGGGGAGGGGGCTTTGGGCAAGCCACAGAGGTATCAACGGTATCAGGCTGTCTAGTTGTTGTTCCCGTGTGCACCGTCCCTAGGGATTCACGTGACACATGTGCCCACAACAGGCCGGGCAGCGGCTCCAACCCAAGGACAACATCTTGAGCTTCAGGGGAAATAGTGACGGGCGCTACCTCTTCATCAACTGCAGGGTCGAAGAGTTTGGGCGTCGTCTTTGGCAACGGCTGAACTTGTGGCTGTTTCTCGCCAGAAATCCCATTTTGAAAGTCAGGAGAAGCGGGAACAGGAGCTACTTTCCCATCAGCCTTAATGGTCGCCTTCTTGGATGACGTTGGGGGCCTCGAATTCGTGTGATGTCCACCCAGTGTAAGGTGTGAATACGCCAAGCCGTCGGTGAGTGGCAGAAACAGGTTTGTTTTGAGGTCAGACATCTCGAGGTTCGGAGATGAGTCCGGCTCGGCGCAGGTATCCACGAGTGATCGAAAGACCTCCCCCATCGTTGGTCGCGCATCAGGAGAAAATGCACAGCAACGAGAAAGTACTTTCTCCACCGGAGGGATTGCTTCCAGTCCCAAACTGGCCGGCCGGATTTTAACGCCTTCAGTAGTTGGGCATCATTCTTAACGAAGGGAAAGGACTTCCATCAAAAAGTATCTAGTTAAGCTTCAGTCAAGCGCAAGGATGTTACATTCATCAATCACAACGGCTCACCATGGCACAACTACAGGCAAAGGAGTAAATATCACTAGATGTCGTCTTGACATTACTTTCCACGACTTCCGGGGCGCAATAGCGCAACGTGAATGAGGCCCCTGAAGATGTGTAGCCTGTCGTCAATCCGTCCCCTATCAAAGATAGCTCGAAGTAACACAACTTGGCATGCCCGGCCTCAGTGATTAATATGTTGAGCTATATGATGTCGGTCCCTTTAAATCGGTTTCGTAGACAACACATGTTTACCTACAGGCTTGAGATCGCAGTGAACTACAACAGGGTCATGGTCATGAAGGTAGGTCAGACCTCGAGCGACATCGAGAAGCTGTCCGATGGCGCGGGTCCCTTCAGTTCAAAAGGCCAGTTTTGTCACTGATACCACTCACGAGGGGCAGCCGATTGCAAGATGGTTTGCGACGCAGATATTGGACAAGGTTCCCGTTCGAACACCATTCGGACACCAGTGCCGCTTCTGGTACTGCGCCGCGAGCTCCAATCGCAAAACCAACGAATTTCACTTTATTTCCGTGGTCCAAGTCCTTCCATGCCTTCATCTCTCTCTTTAGGTGCTGGTGAAGTACGTGGACTTCAATGTTGTCAATCCCGCTGAGAAAGCCCTCACCTTCATGGTTTTTTTTTACTTCCTCTACCACAGGCGGCATGTCGCTGATAGGCGGTTTGAGAACTTTGTAGCAGACCTCCATGGAAGAAGTGAAGTGAACAAAATCAACATGTCAGTTCAGAAAACATACATTCACGGGCGCCAGAGTGCCAGATTGGAGCCATTCGGCACGATAGACCTCGGAGTAGCCGCCCCGTGCAATCAGAACCTTAGTACCAAACTGGTGACTAAGATCCTGAACACCACGAATTGTGGACAAGGCTTCCATCACAGCTGACGAAGCAGGATCCATGGTACAATTGACTAGAGCAGGATAATGATTGCGTATGGATGCCAAGGTGCACGCTCAGAGTAGGCACTTCACAGACAGCTACTGCCAAAGCACCAGCTCCAAGAGCTTTTCGAAAGGAAAGAGCTTGGTTATCCCCTTATACGAATCGGATAAAACTTGAACACGTTTTTTTCCATCGTGGCCCGGGCTCATCCATTGGCAAATGCCAAGAGACAAACTTAAAAGGCAAAAGCCTGCGCGCACCAGCTGACAAATTTCTGCTTACGCCTTCACTGCAGTGGCTCCAAATGTATGCCGTGTTCTAATACTAATAACCTGTGCCTAGCCCGGGCGTTTGTGCAGATCGACCTCGGAGTCGGGCCCAACCTTGTACTACATAGTCATTGTACTAGTTGGGGCTTTCTCAGCAGCTCGGCTTATGTAAATCAACTGCACGGGACCAATTGACCTGTCGTTTCCCTCCCGTCACTGGAGCTCACGGATAGCTGGGAAGCAATTGCGTAATTCACTCTTCATCCCATTGGTCCTTTGACCTTCTAATGTCTCGAATGGTCCGAATTAAACGATCCTTGGGTGACTGGGCGAAATTAAGTGCAATCGGTATTTCTCAACCCACCCCACTCGGTCGGCGGTTCATTGGCATTTTCCTCCCTTCCTTACCGCCTTCTTTCTACGTAGTTGCTCTATTTTTTTCACCTTTCCTCGCTCGTCGTATACACGCGAAACGTCCTTTTATAATGCCCTCCTGCCTCCGCACGACGTCAAGATCCTTAATCGTCGATTTCTTCTGCTGTGGCAGTTGACGTGCCAGCACTTCATTCACGAAATTAAAAGCAATGGCCAGCCAGTGCACTGAAATTCAACCATGTAAACTAGATTGTTTGTAAGAACGCACCAGTGGTTACCTAGCCTTTGGCTTGGCTTTGTCGAAAATTACTCACAGTGTAAGTACTATTGGATCCCCATTGACCAACTCATGCCATGACCCGCTCTTGTACACTGTCAATGTGTGGCACGCTGTTCCGAACGAGGACGTTGTGTAACTGTTGAGCTGAGGGCCGTGTCCTCGGGTACGTGACACATCTTTCATTCTGTGTATTTGAACCAGTGATTTGATGCGCCCTTTTGAGGCTACGTGGACATAGCCCTTACGAATGAATGATGCTATATTGCCGAGGTAAGTATAACCTTCCACATAGTAACGTTCTCCAGACAGTTTTTAATACCAAAGTAATCGACGCCACCTTTCTCTGTGAGCATAAAGGGTTTACCGACAACGCTGAAAAGTCCTGCCCCTGCCCGGGTCCGTAAGAGCCCCCGTTACGCCAACGCACCTGGGCTAGGTGCTCCATGCGGATGGGTTCAGTGGTGGCCCCTGGACGCCACCAAAGGTGTTCTTCTCGGCTGTATCTCTTCAAGCGGCGTGGGCGTGGGCGAGGGTGGTGGGCGGTGGGTGTATACTGCGCGTCAAATGAGACTCGGTTGACCCAGACTCGTTGAAGGCAGCCAGGTGAAATCTACAGACGCCTCGCGTGAAAGACCCCAACCACCTCGACCAGAGGGTTCATTCGTCTTTTCACGGCCAGGGGCTTCCATCCCCTTGATGGCATTGGTCCCTTCGATTTCTCTATCAGTAAGAAACCCAGGACACCAGACCGGCCGCGTTCCCTCTTGTAGAGGGTATGAATTGGAATGGTTAGGAAGAGAGACTATTAGCGGATTCAAATGTGGCGCCGGATTCAAGCGAAGGCTCGTGGAACAGATGGCTCTGTTACCTCAACTTGTTCCTGTAGGGCAGGCTCTTGAGCTCGCGATGGACGCTTTCGGCAGGAGAGACGGGTGTGGGTTCACCGAGAGCTGCCTCTGTAATTGCGGTGAAGACAAGTTCTGCCTGTGGATTATCCAGTCCTTGGGGCATTCTCGACTCTTCTTAGCCAACCAGCCGGGGTAGACGAGACTGAGCAGGGGTTCAGACAGAAATATCGAAAGCACTGTCAGGGGGTATTTCTGCCAAAGTATCGATATTTGGAAGTGTTGAAGACATTTCTGTCCAAGTATCAATTGTTGAGGGTATTTCTGTCAACATATCAATATCTGGAAGTGTTGGAGCTTCTTCAACGTCGCCATCTGCATAACCCGCGTCGTGTTGAGCGGCGAGCAGTGGCTGCAAGCCTGCTTTAAGCTCAGACATCTCGAAGCCTGAAGACGAGTCTGACTCAGTGCAGGTATGCAGGAGTGATCAAAAGGCATTTCGCATCGTCGGTCGCGCATCAGGAGAAGCTGCACAGCAAGTACGTAGTATTCTCTCCACTGGAGAGGATTGATCCCAGTCCCAAGGCGATCGGCGGGAATCCAACGCATCCAATAATTGGGCATCATTCTTAAGTGAAGGGAAGGGATTCCCATCGAAGAGTATCTGCTTAAGCTTCAATCAAGTGCAAGGATGCTATATTCGAGAAGTGCGCAAATACAAGCAAAGCTGTAAATGTCACTGAATGTCGTCTTGTTACCGCTATCCACGACTTATGGGGCACAATAGCGCAATGTGAATCCAGGCCCCTCCGATGTATGTCCTGTCGTCAATCCGTCTGCTATCAAAGATAGCCCGAAGTCGCACAACTTGACACGCCCAGCCTCACTGATTAACACGTTGAGCTATGTGGTATCAATTACTTTAAATCGGCTTCACAGGCAGCGCATGTTAACCTACAGGCTTGAGATCGCCGTGGACTACAACAGGATCATGATCATGAAGGTAAGTTAGACCGCGAGCGACATCGAGAAGCTATTTGGTAGTGGCAGTCCTTCAGTTCAAAAAGGCCAGTGTTATCGCCAATACCACTCACTGTTGGAGAATATAATATGTTCCCAATAGTATAGAGTTTAACAGCCTATACCGGCATGGCTCAAGGGTGAGTAGTGTATGGATGCACGCTAGAGGTCCTGGGTTCGATACCAGGCTTGTCCATGATTTTATGTCCTTGCCACGTGACCTGGATTTGAAGCCATTTGAATTGGAGCTCCGGATAAGTCCAGTAGTTGCACTGGATACAATTTCGACACTCACCAGGAACAGCTGATTGCAAGATGGTCTGCATTGCAGATATTGGACAAGGTTACCATTCGAACACCATTCAGACACTAATGCTACTTCTGGTACTGTGTCATGATCTTCAATCGCAAAACTGACATCAGCAAATGGTCCACGTTCAGTTTGGCCACTTCTGTTGGATATGTCCACCAGAAGTGGCCAAACTGCCCAAAGTGCCCAAAGCAAAATAAACCAGGTCCCTCCAATTCAATTTCAGGGCTAAACTCAATGGCTCCAAGCACAATTCCCACAGTTGTACGGCTCAAAACAATTAAGTTTGGTCCTGAAATTGAATTGGAGGGACCTGGTTTATTTCACTTTGGGCACTTTGGGCAGTTTGGCCACTTCTGGTGGATATGTCCACCAGAAGTGGCCAAACTGAATGTGGACCATTTGCTGATGGACGAGCTTCACGATATTGATGTAGTCTAAATCCTTCCATATCTTCATCTCTCTCTTCAAGTGCTAGTGCGGTATGTGTATCCTCAATGTCATTACTCTGGCTGAAAAAAAATTCCTCACCTTCATAGTTTTCCTTACCTCTTTTACGACAGATGGCATGTTGCTGATAGGTGGTCTAAGGACTTTGTAGCAAACCCCAATAGAAGGAGCTAAATGTAACAGCCAATATGCCAGTTAAAGAGAACATACATTCACAGGAGCCTGAGTGCCAGATCGGACCCATTCTGCACAATAAACCTCGGAGTAGCCCCTCGTGCAGCTAGAACCTTTGCACCAAACTGATTACTAAGGTTCTGGACATCCTGGATTGTGGATAAGGTTTCCATCATGGCTGACAAAACAGGATCCATGGCGTAATCGACAAAGGACTGTGCCTGGATGTATTAGACCCAGGGGGTGTGCTGAGAGTAATCCTTGTAGACAGCCACTACTACAGCACCCAGTTTTAAGAGCATTTCGAAAGGAAAGAGTCGGTAAAGTCGTAATCTAGATGGTTTTGGGGGACTTTGGACACCCACATGCCCAAACACAATCACGCTTATGCGTCGGATTCAAGCACGGGCACGTTTTCTCCATACTAGAAATGGCTGCTGTGCAGCCCTGACCTTGCTTGTGATAAGCCTTCTGCATGTGAGGTTAACTGCCACAGCGGAACATTTTCTGCCGAATCATTGATCTTTCCATCAAGCTGGTAGGGTCTTTTTGCACCATTATGCTGAGGTTCTTTCTACCATCGCGCAACTTTTATTAAGCTGTCATGGGTGTTCTTTCCCCTCCTTTTGTTTGCCATGAGCACACCACATAATATTAGTTATTACCCAACACCAGTTAGCTTTCCCAACGCTCTCTATTCCACTAGCTTTATCCGATTAAAAGAATGCAGGGCATTGCACCGTTGATATGAATCACGGAGGTACATGTAATTAGTGATGGTGGATGGATTGAGGTCCAAGGCACACTCAAAAATGAGTATGACCATGGTTTAGAGGTTGAATTGGAAGTGATGCAAATGGAGCCATAGTGTATGCAGAAAGCGTTGTGTTAAACTGAAATTGGAATAATGAGTGAAGAAGAGGAATTCACAGAGAGCCAACTGGGTGTCTGAAGTCTGAGCTAACATAGTTATATGAGGGGTCAAGTGATTTGTCTTATCGAAGTGGTACTACAGCGGAAGTGATTGTCATAGTTATATTGGGAAAAGAAGACCCTAGATCCTGTGAACAGCACTTGTGGGGCCTAAATGCGCAGAACCCGCTATGAAGTAGTGGGAAAAATGAGCCAGAAAGATCTTATCGCGAGAGTTGTAAGAAAGGACACGTGCAGAGAAGCGGTCAATACATTTTCAGAATTCCCACCAATATATTTGCAGAATTCCCACGAATGTGGACATGCAAGAGACCTTGCAAGCAAGCTAATCAGGGTTGACTGAGGTCGTAGCGGGAGACGGCCCAGGAGGCCCAGAATGTATTGGGAGCAAGCAAGCGGCGCGAGACACGCGTGAACCGGCTACAAGTACAAAGAAGTTCCAGACAAAACAACAGAAATACACAAGAGAGTAGAACAACGGATGATAATAATACATGCAAATTCCGGAACGGGTGGAAACCAGAAAAAGATATATATGGAAACAGAATACACGCAAGATCGGAAACGAAACGAAGTAATCGGTGGTGAAAGGGGAGGGGGTGGGAGAGGCGAAACCAAACTAGTGTGAGACTGCAGCAACGGATATGCGCGAGTCGAGGGGGAAAAGCAGCAAGGGAAACAGGGAGGCAGTAGCGGCAGCAGCGGCAAAATCACGAGAGTGAGTTCGAAAGAACAGCAGCAAGTTGGCCTTGTACGCACCACGAGAGTCGCGAGAGATTCAGGCGATAAGGAAGGAAAAGGGGGCACTGTGAAAGCCCTTTTTATAAGCACGGCCTGAATTGTCGTGAGCACTCTCGTGATAAGTGAGGTTCAGTACGTACCTCCGCTGGTGTGGTCCGCTTCGCGCATCCGCGCCAGAAAACCCAGCATACGACTGAGGCACGGTCCCTGGGTCCATCAAATGGTCAGGTTGCGCAGCAACTCGTGAAAGCGGCAAAGGGGCAAGTGCGGTGCTGAGACAGGCGCATCGGGGTGATCGAGCCAGGGGAAGTCATAGCGTTGGCTGAGCCGAGTTCGATCGTTGCCCCGTGATTAGTCTCGTGAAATGAAAACATTAAACAACAAGTAATGGCTCACACGTGGCAAGTGCCAAGACAAACCAAATAGGCAAGAACAAAAACTTGTATGAGCACACGCCGGAAGCACAGCTGAATGCGCCTTGGCTCCAAATGTACCCTGTGCCCCGTTCTTCGAATCCCAGAGTCTCCCGGAAGAAACCGTCGATGAAACTTGGCCCGATATGTGGGTTTAGATCTCTATCACTTTCTCATCCTCATCGCTCTCATCCCCCCTTGTCAATCCACAAGTCTGAGTACATGCACCCCCACTCTTTCGTCAGTCTCAATCAAGTGCAACGCCCTTACAACCAAATATACACCATTTTCTCGGAGATAATCCCTTCCCTTATGTGAGGTGCACAGAAGCAATAGAGTTTCGACATGTGTTTCGACATGTGTTAGCCCGAGGAGGGGGGTCTGATTCACGCCTCTTTGTTGCTTTGTTGGAGGGAGGAATTGTAAGCTCCTGTTCGATGGTTGGGTGTGTAATTAGATTCATTGTTGGTTGACACCGTTAATCGTCGACACGATGCCCCTTCGACGAATTATGTTTGGGTGTTCTGTAAAATGCAACGAGTTTGCTTAGAGGGGGTACTCTAAAGATGCTGAGTCTTTGTCGCGCTTCCCAATTTCTGGAGTCAGGAAGATTTGTCGGGCCACTGGATACTTCTGAGGATGTCAGGCCCAGAATTACATGTGTGCTGATAGCTTTTGGTGGGGGTAAAAACGTACCACACACTGACGTTCACGAAAACACTCGCCAAGAAATGCAATTATCGATCCTTTCCGCACATTTTGATTCAGGTACATCAGCCTTTTCTGTTGCCTTATCCGACTCGTTCCCAGATGGGACAGTGGCAGAGGCGGCCCGAGCAACTGCATCGACCAACACAAGGATAGTGATAACGTCCGTTGGGCCATGTCATTGGTAGGGGTACGCAGATAGAAGAGTGTTTGAAGTCTTGGTATCGACATACGCTGATAACTCACGATGTTGAGGTTGCGGCGTCATGATTCCTTTCTCGGGGTTATCGCTGTGCACTATGAAAAAGTGCCTTGCTTATAGAGCGAAATTTTTTCACGACTCTCCTCAGTTCACGTACAACGGGACTGAGGTGAGACAACATTCATCTGATTCTTGTTGATTATCTTGTTGACTGATTCATGTACACCAGCGTATCACCCTGGCAAGCACTGGAGGACAGACAAATACTGTGAAATTCCTACACATTGACGAGTGGGCAGCAGCAACGGTGGAGCGTGGCATATGCCTTGTATTTACTGTTTGTCTCAGCGTCCCCTTAGCTGGGGGTGCAGTTACCACGTCCAGGACGTGCCATCGATCTAGGACACATTCAAAGCAAAAGGTTGTTCGACGGAGGACCTGGTATGCATTCTCCTCCAGTATAGAGGTTCATCATGGTCCTCGGGGGGACTGATGTAGCGATGACAACTCAAGTCGACATCGAGGAGCGAGGGACCAGCGTTCATACAGCCCATTGCGAAGTTATCGAGCCAATCTACAACCTCCTGTGTCGTCGGATCGGACTGGGGGTCCACGCGCAATACTTTGACGTCCCAGTTAATTATCGCAAGGTGCTTTAATGATTGCAAAAGGCCGAGTAACGAGCTGGTAGGGCACTTCTGCGCGGAAGGGGGCCAGTGTAGCCGAAGCAGAGCATCGCTGAATCGGACGGTCAAACTAATAAGACAAGTGAATGTTTCGGTAATTCGATAGTAGGACGGCGGGACCACGTCCTGTGGCTCGGGGATTTCATAAATGAGGTGACGTAGTGATGATGCAGAATCCTTTAGCACGTTCAGATCGGGGAGAATCCCCCAGAAGCGGCACAATTCCACGGAATGGAGCGTTGTACATCCACGTGCAAGGAGTTGTTGGGCACCGTCTATGCAGATTCGCGACAAGGAAGGGAGTGGAGTTGGGGGGAAAATGAAGTCGCTTATCCCACTCAAACGAACGTCCTTAAGATTTGGGAGTGTCGAATGTGTGATCAATGTGTCGATCGAGTAACAATCAAGTCTTTTTAAAGATGGTAGGTCTGACAAGGAGAGTCTGGTGACGTGTTTGACGGAGAGGTATTCCAATGCATGTAGAGTGGACATGTCGTTGGGAAAGCGGATATTCCCCCAGACCGAATTGATCTCCACGGTTTTGAGTGAGGGGATAGGGGGGATATCAAAAGTTTTGGCATTGGAGATCGCTAAGTGCTGAAGACAGGGCTGTGAGGTCAAAAAACGTCCCCACTTTAATTGTGTGATATCGTCACGCATAGATAACGTAACGCTTTCAAGCTGGTGATGTCCGAAGGAGGTCCACACGGTGGGGGAACTCTCCAGGAGAAGTTTGTGAACACCAGCCAGCTCCAACTTGATGAGATGTGGGAATTTGGAAAGTATATCTATTAGTGTTTCGAGAGATCTCCGCGCTTCCCCCCCTTTCACATGGCGAATAGAGCGGGGGCCAGTGACCTGGAGAGTTATATGCTTGACCAAGGATGCCAAAGAGGTATTCGTGAACTGATGGAGCTCCCCGAAGTCGTTGCTGCAGAGTACAGCACGATATTTGAAAGCCCGGAAAAGAATATCGCCGCAAGCATGTCGAATATTACGGCTTGTGAGGCTCATGCCATCGCGTAGGGTTTCAAAGTCGAGGAATGTGAAGATGTGAAGCGCAATCTCGTATGGTACTCCAAGAAGATGAGAAGGCTTTGTGGGATCCTATCACGTATGCACATCGATTGAGTGTTGAGGTCATGCAACCGAACTGTGCTCACCTGGGCCCTATCTACCTGACTCACGCCTTCATTGGGGAGCCCATCAAAGAATAGGCTTAAGTCTTGCAAGACCCCGTCTTGGGGTGCTTTGGTATGTAGATCACGCCAGTAGCCTCCTATATGTGTTCAGTACCATCGCGATGTGACCAAGGTTCTTGCCACATACTCATCTGTTGTACGTCGGGTAGGCTGTGCAACGCTTACATGAGCCATTCCCACGGTTTGTGACGCCGGAGGTCGCCGGAGGTCATGTGAGAATCAAAAGATTCCATCTACTGCGGAGTTGTCCGAATTTATTGTTATATTGTTATATTGTTGTCTAATCGGTTCCGACCAACTTAGTGGACACGGCCCACGATGCAACGTGGGCCAGCGCAAAATGGGATTGCAAGAAAAGAAATACAACGGCCAAGGGCGAGCCGTAACCGATGACCATAACATAGGAAGGAGGAGGGGAGGATGGTGGTGGAAAAAGAGGAAAGATTCGCCCATTGATGTGTCCGTTGGATTTGTTTAGAGTAAACGCTCGGCGCGTTGTGCATCGAAAGCGGAGCGACCGGCCAATGTGCTCTGGATTAAGATGGGATTTTGGCGTAGATAAATAAGGAAGGCCTCGGAAGACCAACGACCGATTAAACGGATATGGTCTAGGGGAGTGCCAGTTAAAGCAAGTGCGGTGGCACCACCCGAGCGAAGTGAGTGACCAGCCACGTTGGGGTCGTTGATAATAGATCGCAGATGGGAGATAAACCAGGAGCATGTAGGCAAACATCCGCTTTCGCGGAGCCATAAGTCGGGCAGGTGAGGGAACCTAGTATCGTGCATAAAGAGGTAGTTTTTGAAAATTTGGAGGGGGTCAAGAACCCCTTCACGCTTCTCAAGAACGATAGTTGAACCTTCGAAAAATCGGTCCGCTTTGTGCATTGGTAGGAAAAAAGAGACATGTGGACATGGGTCATCGCGAAACTTCACAGAGAAACATCGGATGGACTTCCAAAAACTTCGCAATGCAAGAACGTCATTGTCAACCAGCTCTCCTAAGCGCATAAGACAATGCCAACTGACGAAGCAAAGCGCAACAAAGAGATTGTCATTGAGAGAAGGAGTGAGCGTGATAGATTGTAGAATGCAATGCAGGTCGCCCTCAGATAGCGCCCGTTTTCGAACTGGGGGGGACCTATGAAGTTTATAGCACCCAGCAAGGGTGCGTGAGAGAAGACGGGAATTTCGGATATCCCGGACCTCCGGCCAGTAGCCTTCAAGTTCGGCACAGATGCCTGAGAGGTATGAGGAAACCGAAGAAGGCTGGATGTGAGCGGACATGTAAACCACGTAAAAGGTAAGGGTGTCCAGCGTTGGGGCATAAGGTCGGTTATGTAAATCACAGAAAGTGGTGTAAGAAAGAAGGGCAGAGGTATATGTGCGCGAAGTTGAAGGCTCAAGGGCAGCACCGAGTGCAGTGGCCCGAGCCTGCCATAAGCGCTCGATCAACCAAGGTTCACGCTGTGGTTGTTGGGTCGTCGAGCGCCCTCATATGTTCATATTGATTCGGCCCCCGGTTTTAACAGCGCCGGAGGCCTAAAGTGGTGGATAGTTAAAGAGGGATAAAGGTTTCGCACAACCTCGAAGTTTCTCCACGACAAAGCGTCTGCAACAACGTTATGCCTCCCTTGAATTTGAAAGACACGTAAATCAATCCCGCTCTCGAGCCATGTGGCAATAGCGGACATGAGAATAGCATTATAGAGGTCGGTAGCACGAAGGGAGTTAAAAATGTTGAGAGAATTTGTCAAATTGGTATGGATTGCAAGCCGCTTAGGCAAAGGAGAAATGGATGCCGCCCATTGGAGCGCAGTGAGGATAGTGATTGCCTCGTTATAGAAGATGTTGAAAGGCTCATCGGGGGTGAGAACTGGGTCCCCTATATAAGCGGCTCGGAGTTTTGGGGCCCAGAAAGCGAGCCCAATTTTGCACGCATCGCCGAAAATTTCCAGATCCACATCGAATGGCGTCCAAACTTCAGTTGATAGGATCCTCACTCCCTCGAGTGGATTCACCGTGTCAGTGAACCATAATAAATTGTTGCGGACTTGTTTGTTGACGTAAACAGGTTGGTGCATTGCTCGCTTTCCACCAACCTTATTGTATGCCGAATTTAGCGCAGGTTTGAGCAAGGGGAAAACGTTGAGCATCCAGTTTGCATACCCGAGGGTCCGCAACCACACCCGCAGCGGTTGATGGCGCGACCCATTTGGTGTGTCCAAGACAAAATCTCGTATCGCAGCGCAAAATTTTGCCTTGGCCTCAGCAGAGATTGAAATCGACAAATCTTCAATGTCAAAGAGAAACCCAATCACTTCTAGCCACTTGCCATACAGCTGCTTTGCATCGTCATGCGGCACTCCAATCTCATCCAAAAGTTCCAGGAAGGTTGCCTGATCATGTGGCATGATGCGCTTGTAAGGCGCATAGAATTTGAGATCACTGGTGAAAGTGACATTGAAAGCATCGTCCACATAGTGTAGTAGTCCTTGGATCCTTCGCAGATGAATGGCGATCCAACAGACGAGTCCAAAGAAGAGGCACCAAAGCCGCCCAGAAGCTCGGTTCCCAAAAACGGCGCACCGGTCAACATGATAGGAACCGTTAACGAGAGTTGCCTGTCTTGCCTGCCATCTGGGGTGCATTGGAATACGTCGGTAAGCTTGAGAAGCGTCGGACTTCCACATGTAAGATGGTCAAATATTTCCGTTTTGCGACATCATCACTCGGATATTCGAGGCAAGGTTGCTGAGGTTATCAAGGACGACAAAGCCCCCTTCGGCAGGAATCAAGGAGTTGAGGGACTTATTCCCAGCACTATGGTCATTAACCAGACGTAGCTTTGCACTCCCCTTTTTGGGAACGGTGAATATGGGTTGACCAACCATCCCAGGTAAGAGCTTGTCGCCAAACCCCACCGAGTACCTATCCAATGCCATCTCCGCTTGGCATTGTTGTTTGAGGAAAAGGGTCGACTCAGCATCGAGGTCGGGTGTTCCTTTCGGCTGAAGGACAACACCTGACGGGACCGACTCAGGGTCTTCGACGTCGGCGAAGGGCCAGAAACCGCTGCGGAAGCCCGAACAAATAGAATGAACTAGCGTGCGATTGGGGTGAGAGGAAAGAAGGGTCTCCAGACGATCAACCTTAATTGGGGAAACGATCTTGAATAAGCTTGGGTTGGACTTAATCATCGCGGTGATATCAATGAACTTGTAGTCGCTTGAGGGGACGTTAGGAACCGGGTTTGCTGTTTTGGTATATGTTGCCGACGGTGTGGTTTCTACATCATGCTCCCCAAAGATGAACCTCATGTGTCATGGGCGTTTACTTTCCACGTCACATTTGAATGGGTCTTTATCAGGCTCTCTCTTTCGTTTTAGAGCACTTAGCTTCCCCATGGGTACTTGACCTGCAAGTGCTGCACTTGTGCAAGTATCGGCACTCGGCTTGACGACATCCATCCGTTCGGTTGAATTCTCGACAAATGGGATAATCTCCCATTCCCCGCTTCCACTTCTTCCCTGAAAATGCAGAGGAGCTTCCCTCACCAGATCCTCCACTGAAATTTGAGCGTACATCGGTGTTTCCTCGCAGATAGATGTCGTGGAGGACCTCCTGTAATTCTCCGATGTTAGCGAAGGAGAGATGTGGGCTGGTATGGAGGAATTTCCGTGCTGCTTGGTCGTATTCGAGGGTAAGCGCTGCTCCGGTGACATTGAACCGCCGGACAATATGCCTACGGTAGATTTGAAGCTCAGCATTACGATGTGGGAAGGCCCACACGACAGCCTCGGCGTACAAGTCCCACGCCTGCGTCCACTGTCCATCCGTTGATAACTTCGTTTTGCTTCGAGTGGTTGCCCCTGAAAAGATCTCGATTCCGTTCCCGAGATCGACTGCATCATCGTATCGAAGTGTGTGGAATCGTTTGTGGTCAATAAGGTGCCCAAAGTCGATGAGATGGTTGGTGAGGATGTCTTTCCAAAGATGTGGGGGAAACTCTGGCATCCCTCCTCGTTTGAAGAGACTTCGTCCAGCGCGTTTGAGGTTCGCATCATAAATGTTTCTAAGGGCTTGCGTTTTTTGAGCATCGCTGAATGTTCCAGCTGCTGTCTGGCTCCAAGGTGGTCCCCCATTCCCGAGTCCCCAGTTCCATGCGTACTCGGCTCGATGGTCATCCTCCTCATCAACGACACGTTTGAACTCGACGGTAGGGGCCTTCTCAAAGGCTCCGATTCCTGGTCCTGTGTCTGCATCATGCTCAGGTTGAGCGGTAGCCTGAGGCGGAGGAGGAGCATCTGGTTGCTGAGTCCCATCCGGTCCAGGAGCGTTTTGGGTTGTTTCTCGAGTCCCTCCGAGGCGTCGTTCTCCTCGGGCTGTAGCACGAATGCGGGCATTGGTGATTTGTTCAAGTTCGTCCCCGTAGCGCTCATGGGTTTGACTTGCTTGGCTCTCTGTGAACGCGGTTTCATCCATGACGATCTCATTGACACGGGCAAAAGCCCTTGAGAGGGAGAGGGTTTCCGCAGTGAATTGGTGGACAACATCGACGAGCGATTCGAGCGTTTGGGCTGCGACGGGTAAGTCAAGAGCATGTGAGACATGCTCAATCAGTGATCACCAGATGTCCGTTAGGATTTGTAGGCAGAAGAGAGAGCAGCGCAAGCGAGGTTGGAACAAGAGCTGACAGCAAGCAATCACGATAAAGAAACAAGGAAGAAAGATATGCTTACAGAGAACAGTAAGAAGGAAGCGGAAAAGCAATAACTACGCAATAACCAGAGGGGGTACTGGCAAGCGAGCGTGAGTTACAAGCCCTGCTGTGCTGGGGGAAACATACCAGTAACTCCGAGCACAAGCGCGAAAGCAAGCGAGCAGGTGGGGGAAAGGAGCAAACCTCCCCCTTCCTCAGCAACTTAACCTCAGCCATGCTAGAGGCAAGTTAGGACCCGGGCAGTTGGTCACCCATCACGATCCATCAGCACTGCGGCAGTGCAGAACGAGACAGACTGCTCCAGGTTGCACATGCCCGGCCCCGATTAGTCCCGTGAAATAGGATATTAAACTGGAATTAATGTCCTCATTTCACGAGACTCATCATGGGGCAACGACCGGAATTGGCCCAGCTGACACTGCAACCTCTCTTGATCAATCAGACCCCACTGCACCT